GAAATAAATATGAGGAGTGGAATGAGAAAATCAATGAGAAGCCCCCAGACATCATAGCAGTCACAGAAACGAAACTCACTGAGACAACAGAGTAGTAAGGGATATATGTTGGTAGTAAGGGATATATGTTGCTAGTAAGGGATATATGTTGGTAGTAAAGGATGTATGTTGGTAAAGGATAAGTGGAGCTCTGAGTTAAGTCTTTAGTGGAGAAAAGTTTTTTGTTTGTTTTTCCAATTTTCTTGTTGGTTTTATTACTTTTATCTTTCATACGTAACTCTGATGGATTTCGAGAGTTGTTGTACTCTCGCAGCCTGGCCCAGGGTTAGTCTTGTCTGGTGCTTGTCTGATCAACCAGGCTGTAAGTGCTGGCGGCTTGCTGGCCCACATCCATCACAACCTGGTTCATCTGGCACTTGATGGAGGTACATGCCCAGTTTCCTCTTAAAAACTTCTACGCTTGTTCCGGCAGTTTTTCAGATATTGTGGTCTGGGGCCACAGGTGTTAATACAGTGTTCTGTTATTGTGCCCACGGCGCCCGTTTTTCACTGGGTTTATTTTACACTTCCTCCCATATCTCTCCAGTATGTTGTTATGGCAATGTGCAGATTAGGAACCAGGCCCTCAAGCACCTTCCCCCCCTCCCTCTCCCCCCTCTCTCTCTCTCTCTCTCTTTTATATATATATATATATATATATATTATATATATATATATATATATATATATATATATATATATAACAACACTGCGACTAGCCAAGGACTCGAACCCATGCTGCTTTGGCCTGCCTCATGGTGGGCGAAAACTCATGACGTCTTAATCCACTGGACCACACAATCCTTAAGAGTAGCGCATCCAGCGGAACTGGATGTATTAGTATGTACTAGAGACTAGAGTGAAATTAGCCTAGAGTCATCCACACCATCGTATGTCCTTGGGTAGCGAGTACAACATCCAGTTCCACTGGATGTTGTACTCGCTGGATGCGCTACTCTTAAGGATTCTGTGGTCCCGTGGATTAAGCATGTCGTTAGTGATTATGCGAGTCAAGTGCCCTCAGTTGTAACATAGAATCGATAATAATCAGAGTCCAGCTAGCATCAGTGAAAACAGGAAAATAAAATAAATAATGAGCTAATTAAAAGAGAAAAAAATCATAGGAAATTAGGAAGGCTGAAATAGGAAAAAGAAATCAGTGAGTTAAGTAGGAAAAATAATTAGGAGGAGGGCGGAGAGACCCAATCAAGCATGTACATGCAGTCAGTTCATAGAAATGACAGGGACGGTCAGACTCGACGCTGTGTTGGAGAGTAAATGCCAGACTTGCCTCTCTTCTATCACACTAGTGGCTTATATTTTTGGCTTCACGGGCAAGCGGTAAAACTGTTGGGGGTCGTAGAGCGTCTGGGAGAATGGAAGGCAAGTGGATTCGATCCGAGGTTAGGGAGAGTAGTTACAGTTCTTTGGATCAAGAGAACTGCTTTACCGGCGTCAAGGTACCTCCCTCTAAGGCGGGTAGTAAATGATCCTTCATATTTCCCACCTTCACTTATTATATATTAGGACCAATTATAATTGGAAAACTTATTTTATTTTTCTTATTAACACATCGGCCGTCTCCCACCAAGGTAGGGTGGCCCGAAAAAGAAAAACTTTCACCATCATTCACTCCATCACTGTCTTGCCAGAGGCACACTTACACTACAGTTATAAAACTGCAACATTAACACCCCTCCTTCAGAGTGCAGACACTGTACTTCCCATCTCCAGGACTCAAGTCCGGCCTGCCGGTTTCCCTAAATCCATTTATAAACATTACCCTGCTCACACTCCAGCACGTCAAGCCCTAAAACCATGTGTCTCCAATCGCTCCTAACATGCTCACACATGCTTGCTGGAAGTCCAAGCCCCTCGCACACAAAACCTCCTTTACCCCCTTCCTCCAAACTTTCCTAGGCCGACCTCTACTCCATCTTCCCTCCACTACAGATTTATACACTCTCGAAGTCATTCTATTTTGTTCCACCCTCTCTGCATGCCTGAACCACCTCAACAACCCCTCCTCATCCCTCTGGATAATAGTTTTGGTAATCCCACACCTCCTCCTAATCTCAAAACTATGAATTCTCTGCATTATATTCACACCACATATTGCTCTCAAACATGACATCTCCACTGCCTCCAGCCTTCTCCTTGTTGCAACATTCACCACCCATGCTTCGCACCCATATAAGAGCATTAGTATAACTATACTCTCATACATTCCCCTCTTCGCTTCCATGGACAAAGTTCTGTGTCTCCACAGACTCCTAAGTGCACCCCTCTCCTTTTTTCCCTAGTCTGTTCTGTGATTCACCTCATCTTTCATAGACCCATCTGCTGACACGTCCACTCCTGAATATCTGAATACATTCACCTCCTCCATAATCTTTGCCTCCAACCTGATATCCAGTCTTTCGTTACCTAATTTTTTTGTTATCCTCATCACCTTACTTTTTCCTATATTCACTTTCGATTTTCTTCTTTTACATACCCTACCAAACTCATCCACCAACCTCTGCAACTTCTCTTCAGAATCTCCCAAAAGCACAGTGTCATCAGCAAAGAGCAACTGTGACAACTCCTACTTTCTGTTAGATTCTTTATCTTTTAACCCCACACCTCTTGCCAATACCCGAGCATTCACTTCTCTTACAACCCCATCTAATAATATATTGAACAACCATGGTGACATCACACATCCTTGTCTAAGGCCTACTTTTACTGGGAAATAATCTCCCTCTCTCCTACATACTCTAACCTGAGCCTCACTATCCTCATAAAAACTTTTCACTGCTTTCAATAACCTACCTCTTATTCCATACATTTGCAACATCTGCCACATTGCCCCGCTTTCCACCCTGTCATACGCCTTTTTCAAATCCATAAATGCCACAAAAACCTCTTTACCCTTATCTAAATACTGTTCACCATATTGTTTCACTGTAAACACTTGGTCTACACACCCTCTGCCCTTCCCTAAAGCCTCCTTGTTTATCTTCTATCCTACTCTCCGTCTTTTAATTCTTTCAATAATAACTGTACTTTACGAGGTATACTCAACAGACTTATTCCACTATAATTTTTGCATTCTCTTTTGTCCCCTTTGCCTTTGGAGAAATTGTGACCAATTATATAACTGGAGGACTCATGACCAATTATAACTGGTCATATCGTGGTCAATTATATTGTCAGCATAGTTGCTGATCCTCCTTTACATGTGTTGTATGCATAGATTAGCTGAGTATTATAGTACCATCCATGTGCTTTATATAGAAGATCCCTAGGCCTGTGACTGTATGACGTCACGGGATACAGCATGAGTGAGTGAGAGGCGCTGCCTCGTCCTCACTCAACGGATAGACATTCAAGCAGGCAGAACAAGGCAGGCCTGGGCTCCCATCCACAGTCTGACAATATACATAGCGTTAGCATCCAACAAGTGGTTTACCTTATCCATCATTCTCCTTCCGAACCCCCGCGACAATATAACTGGAGGACTCATGACCAGTTATAACTGGAGGACTCACAGTTAGAGTAACAAATATGCTCAAGCCACCAGCAAACAGTTTAAGACAGGTGTTAGAAGAGAACACCACTACTATATATACCTTAGATGTGGCCTCCGAAGTGGCTAGTTTGTGCGCCCCATAACCATCCTGTGGAGGGCAGCACAAGAACATGTGGATATACAAAAGGCCTAGGAACTAGGCCTGGATTTACATTTGCAGTTCACTTATCTTTTGCAAGAAAATTTTGGAAATTGGCTTAATATGTCTGGTATAATTTTTTCATTCTTAAGATATCTTGACAAGTCACATAGGTTATTATACTATCACTATATTTCTCAATAAGTGGACAGTTGAGCACATAGTGTTCAAGATAGTGCCCATAGGGCTGCCCAACATGGGAGGACTGAAATATAGAAGAAAAAAATAATGGAGGTAGTGATGGAGAACTTGACGAGTCAACGCATCAAAGATGCCACAAGACAGAAGTGGATGAGCCAGTGAGGCTGGACCTGGTCTTCACACTAAACGATGCATGTGAAGACAGAAATCGACTATGAAATACGACTGCACAGCTCTGAAACTTAAACATTCAGAGGTAAAGCTGGAAAGGAATAAAATAGGAAGAAGAGACTAGTTAAAGATGAGAGCGTTCATGAAGTACAGCTAGTAGGAACTAGAAGAAAAGGCAACAAATTTGTAGAAGTTCTAGTCGAGAAATATACTGAGGAACGTGTTTAGGTACAGGTACTATTACTAATACAGTTGCAGATCAAATACTAGTGTAGCTAAAGACTTAGTTCATACAAAAATTCCGAAGCAGTGTGTAGCAGGGTAGAGAGAAGTCAGGTGGGGTGATGTCTCACGTCAAAACATTTGGGCTTGTAGCCACATCACGGGGTCACGTCATCTAACTTGGATGTCAATAATGTTTTGCTAGGAGGTTGAGACGCTGGCGTTGCTCTCATGTACACGTCATTCACAGTCGTATGATTGTAGTGAAGCTCAGATTATTTTGACGTCCATGAATCTAACTGTTACTTTGTTGTGACCTATCTTTCACGCTACAAGACTGCTTTATGATCAGTCTTTCACGATGCAGGACTGGTTTATGAACTATCTTTCACGATGCAAGACTGGTTGACGATCAATCTTACACGCTACAAGACTGGGTAATAATCTAACCTCCTGTGAGACTGGCTTAGCAAATGTCCTTCTCCCTATTACAGGGCTACGTTGTATCTTTTGTCCAGCTACACGATTTGGATCTGTGTTCCGTCGTGTGTTGCTGGGCTAGGATGTGTGTTGGACACAGATGGATGTTATGCAGTGGTTACCCACTCTGTGTTTACACTGACGGTCTGAATTATGTGAATTATCCGAGACACAGATTACCAGTAAGATAAATTCAAGGCTCCCAGATACGACAGTAATATTTAATAAAAATTATACGCTTTGTTCATAGTGAAATGTATGAATATGTTACTGTTACTAATGATAATATTGTTGTTTTTTTAATAATATTACAAATACTGTTACAGAGAAGTGCTACTATGTAGTTGTTGCTGCTGATATTCTTCCTAATGTTATTACTGTTATTACTACCACTACTACCTAACTACTAGTAATACATCTAGTATTACTGGTAATGTAACTTCTATTATTTCTACTACTAATGCTACTACTATTTCTCCTACTGTTACAACTACCACTACAACTACTATTACCACTACAACTACTACTACCGCTACAACTACTACTACAACTATTGCTACTAATACGAATAAAATAAGTGGGTATAGAATTACAGACTAATGCTGTTATCAATTGACCCCCCTTCGGGGTTTAGCGCTTCCCATGACAATGTAGTGATTTTAACAAGTCTCAAGTGCTTGCTCACTGGGGCTCCCCATCACAATGTTCAGTGTCACCTTCCATGATTTTAATTTTTGTTTTTTCTCCGAATTCAGAATTTCAGATTAAATTTAATTAAAAAGGTTACTTAGTAATTTATATATATATATATATATATAATATATATATATATATATATATATATATATATATATATATATATATATATATATATATATGCAAAACAACCACTCTGAAAGAATAGAGAAATTCCAAGCGCTTTCGTGACTACTCACATTATCAAGGAACTATGATACCATAGTTCCTTGATAATGTGAGTAGTCACGAAAGCGCTTGGAATTTCTCTATTCTTTCAGAGTGGTTGTTTTGCATATTCTGAAATCACCTGTTTACTGTGATCTTATTGCATATATATATATATATATATATATATATATATATATATATATATATATATATATATATAATATATATATATATATATATATTACAAAGTTTGTATTCTTTAAATTAATCTTGTAATTTTTCTGTATATATATTCACTGATAAGTGTCTGTCTGTCAGTGTATATACAATAAAATTTTGAGTGTATATACACTGACGGTTTTAATGGTTTATCTGCACTTGAAAAACGTTCAAATTAAACCATGATTATTATATTTTTGTTTAACTTTAAGTTTGGTGTGGAAGTAATTGTTGTGTTGTTCCACAGCTCCCGAGTCCAGCAGCAGACATAACGGACGTGAGTGTTTGTAAACACATTTCTTACTTATTTTCATAGCTAATGTGTGTGAGGGGGGGGGAGGGTAGGAGGGTTGCTTGCTTGTTTGTCCTGGCTTGTACCAAAACTGGTGGAAGGCCAACCAAGACAATTGACTCTTGGGATTTTGTTATTGGCTGGTTCGTTCCTTTTTTTTTTCCTTCCTGTTTTCTCCCCCCCCCCTTTATTTTTTTTCTCTTTTCCTTCATTTTTTTTTTCTTCCCTTTATCTTTTTTCCCTTCATTTTTCTTCCGTGTATCTTTGTTTTTCTCTTCATTTTTCTTCCTTTACTCCTTGTTTTCCCCCTTCATCTTTTCCTCTCTACTTTTTTTCCTCTTTCCTCCTTAATTGCCATTCCAGTCCTTGCTTCCCTATCTCTTTCTTCTCTTCCTTATCGTCTTTCATTTCAGTTTGTTATTACTCCATTTTTTCTCCTTCATCAGTTTGTTATTACTCCATTTTTTCTCCTTCATCCCCTCTCCCCCTCTTCCTCCTTCTCTTCTTCCTCTTCCTCCTCCTCCTCGTGTACACTCGCTGATGGCTCTCGTACACATCGTGTTTCCCCGTTGTTTGTGTTATGACTGGGGTCTGCTGCTGGTGTTCCTGTTGCTGCTGCTTCTGTTCCTGCTTCTCTTCCTGTTGCTTCTGTTTTTGCTGCTGTTAAATGCGTCCAATTTTAGGTGTTACTGTATTTGTGGATCATGGCCTGATCAAGTATATTGTTACTGCTGGCCACACGCAATCCAACGTAGTTGTCTTCAGGAGGGAACTGGACAGATACCTAAAGTTAATGCCGGATCAGCCGGGCTGTGGTTCGTACGTTGGACTACGTGCGGCCAGCAGTAACATCCTAGTTGATCAGGCCATGATCCACTAGGAGGCCTGGTCATGGACCGGGCCGCGGAGGCGTTAATCCCCGGAATACCCTCCAGGTAGGTAGACTCCAGGTAGGAACCACAGCCTGACTGGTCACGTACTGCCTAGGTATGTCAGATACTTATTGGGCCCCAGACACTTACTGTGTTTTCTTTCAGAGTACTCACGGCACCCTTACTTTTCATTGGGGTTATATTGCACCGTCTGCCGAGTGTTTTGCTTTCACAGGGAGTGAGTTCTGTGTGCAGATATGGGAACAGTCCCTCAAGCTTTTTCAAGTGTAAATAACAAAAAGGCACAATACCGTGACTGGAACGATACTCAAATAACCCGCACATAAAAGACGTAAGCTTCTGTCTTTTATGTGCGGGTTATTTGAGTATTTTTCAAGTGTAAATTATGTGCATTTTTCACCTGCGTTCCAAGGAATACTGGTCAGGGGACTTCAGGGATTTCAAACGTTCATAGTAATTGAGGTGTTTTACAGTACATTCCCTATATCTGCAGTTTTGCCTGCCTTGAAAGGGGCTGTTAGTGTACCACAGTATTCCAGCTTAGAACAAGTGACTTATAGAGGATCATCATTGGCTTGGTATATGTACCTTGCTTTGAAAGTTCACATTATCCATCCTATCATTTTCCTCGCAGATGTGATAATGGCATTAGTTGTGATACTTGAAGGTGAGATCCTGTGACAGTATCACTCCCAAGTCCTTCACAATAGTTTTTCGCTGTATTGTGTGGTTGCAATTTGTTATATGCACAGTTCTAGTTATTAATTCCTCAAGTTTTCCATAACAGAGTCCTCTTTGAACATATTCTTTTCTGCGGCCCATTTGAAGTCTTGGTTTATATCCGTTTGGAGATTTACAGTGTCCTCGGTGGTTGACACTCTCATGTAAGCTCTAGTATCGTTTGCAAAAGAAGACACGGTGTTCTGGTATACATTTCCGTCTGTGTCGTATATGAGGATGAGGATTTAAATCTACTTAACCAGTTAACTTTTCTGTGGTAGCAATCTTTATTCACGTTTTCAGTCGTACCAGTCTCTCTTCCGTTCATAAGTTTTAAGAGTTTTCCTGGTGCTTGGCCGGTCAACCTCACTGGCCCAGATACTCATCACAGCCTGATTGATCTTGCACCTGGTGAAGATACTTGTCCAGTTTTTCCTTGAAGACTTCTATACTTGTTCCAGCAGTGTTGCTGATATATTCTAGTAAGATGTTGAATAATCTAGGACCACGGATGTTGATACAATGTTCTCTTACTGTGCCCACTGTGTCGCTATCTTTCACTGGGTTTATTCTACATGTTTTCCATATCTCTGACTCAAGTATGTTGTGATGGCAATGTGCAGAGTTGCGGCAAAGCCGACAAGTACTTTCCAGGTATATATCATCATGTATCTCTCTTCTCCTCACCACTGAGTATATATTAAAGACTCTGAGGTGTTTCCAGTAATTTGAATGCTTTTTTGGCTCTTTGTAGACTCTGATATCTATTCCGTCCTCAACACTGAACAATGGTCCAAGTGAAAGATCACAAGTGATTTGAATAGCGTCACCAATGGCACTATTTCCCTTGTCCTGAAAGTTCTTATTATCCATCGTGTCATTTTTCTGGCTGTTATGACATTTGTTTTATTGTGTTCTTTGAAAGATCAGGCCACATAATTACTCCAAGGTCTTTCACGTGTTCTTTTTCACGTGCTCCACTTGTTTTATATACAGCGCACCTTTTGAGTTGTTCATTCTTTCCATGTTTAAGCTGTCGGAACTTATCACCACTGAAAATCATGTTATTCTCCACTACCCACTGAAAGACTGCGTATAACTTCTTGCAATTTTTCCCTGTCTTCTACCGAGGTTATCTGCATGCTTATTTTAGTGTCATCCGCAAATGATGATACATAACTGTAACGGATGATTTTATCTATGTCCGCTATGAGGATAAGAATCAGCAGAGGCGCCAGGACTCTACCTTAGGGTATTGAGCCTTTCACTTTGCTAATGATGGATTTTGCTCTGTTTGCTACCACTCTTTGTGTTCCGTCTGTCAAGGTTGAATATCCATCTGCCTACTTTCCCCGTTATACTTATGGCCCTCATTTTGTGTGCAATAACTCCATGATCACATTTGTCAAATGCCTTTGTAAAATCCGTGTATACTCATCTGCGTTTTGATTTTCTTCCAACGTCCTGTAATGTACCATAATGGTTTAGTAGATGTGATAACCATGATCTTCCTAATCTCGGACCATGCTGGTTTGACTTGTGCAGTTTGTGTTGTTCCATAAAAAATATAATTTGGCGTCTGATCACCCTGTCGAAGACTTTGATGATGTGCGATGTTAGGGCTGCCGGTTTCTAGTTTTTTACTAGCACTCTACCGCCTCTTCTATGCAAAGGAGCTATGTCTGCACTCTCTAAGGTCTTACTGATTGCACCTACATCTAGGTTCTTTCTCCCAAAGAACACTGAGTACTGGCGCTAGTGATACTTTGCATCTCTGTATAAATGAGGAATTCCAGTAATCCAGTCCAGTGACTGCATGAGTGGGCATGTTTTCCTTTTTTTTCAAATTCTGCAGTATTAGTGCTCATATCAGTTATATGATGTGTATGGCCTTTGGTAGGGATTTTTTTTTTTCGCATTCTCCACCCTGCACTGTGATTTACCACCATATTTGTGAGGTTGAAATCTCCTTGTTAAACTCCTCAGCGTTGCTGACGGTGGTGTATGTACAAGGATAATTACTAAATATCTATATTCCTCTTTAATATCTACAGCTTCTGATATATTTGATGAAGTCATCAGTTGTGTGCAACAAATATGTGTCTTTCACATGTTCTCCTACTCCTTTGTTGTGACTTTCAACAGCTATGTATCTCACTGTTCAAAACTTCCTTGTGTGTTTCTGTAAATGTTGCAGTTTCTCTTGTCTTTTTCTGTGGTACAAGTGTGTACAGTAATGTTGTACGAGTGTGGACAGTAATGTTGTACGAGTGTGTACAGTAATGTTGTACGAGTGTGGACAGTAATGTTGTACGAGTGTGTACAGTAATGTTGTACGAGTGTGTACAGTAATGTTGTACGAGTGTGTACAGTAATGTTGTACAAGTGTGTACAGTAATGTTGTACAGTAAGATATACATACTGGTACACACAGGTACACACAAGAGAGCTCTGTTCAGAGGTACACACAGGTACACACGAGAGAGCTCCGGTCAGAGGTACACACAGATACACACGAGAGAGCTCTGTTCAGAGGTACACACAGGTACACACGAGAGAGCTCTGTTCAGAGGTACACACAGGTATACACAGGTACACACGAGAGAGCTCTGTTCAGAGGTACACACAGGTACACACGAGAGAGCTCTGTTCAGAGGTACACACAGGTACACACGAGAGAGCTCTGTTCAGATGTACACATAGGTACACACGAGAGAGCTCTGTTCAGAGGTACACACAGGTACACACGAGAGAGCTCTGTTCAGATGTACACATAGGTACACACGAGAGAGCTCTGTTCAGAGGTACACACAGGTACACATGAGAGAGCTCTGTTCAGAGGTACACACAGGTACACACGAGACAGCTCTGTTCAGAGGTACACACAGGTACACACGAGAGAGCTCTGTTCAGAGGTACACACAGGTACACACAAGAGAGCTCTGTTCAGAGGTACACACAGGTATACACAGGTACACACGAGAGAGCTCTGTTCAGAGGTACACACAGGTACACACGAGAGATCTCTGTTCAGAGGTACACACAGGTACACACAAGAGAGCTCTGTTCAGATGTACACATAGGTACACACGAGAGAGCTCTGTTCAGAGGTACACACAGGTACACACGAGAGAGCTCTGTTCAGAGGTACACACAGGTACACACGAGAGAGCTCCGGTCAGAGGTACACACAGGTACACACGAGAGAGCTTTGTTCAGAGGTACACACAGGTACACACGAGAGAGCTCTGTTCAGAGGTACACACAGGTACACACGAGAGAGCTCTGTTCAGAGGTACACACAGGTACACACGAGAGAGCTCTGTTCAGAGGTACACACAGGTACACACAGATACACACGAGAGAACTCTG